GTAAGATCGTTTGTAAGTATTGTTTAATAAGTATTTTCTAAATATCTGTGTACTTCCTGAAAAAGCTACGGTGTCGGAATTAAACCTGGGTTATTTTATGGATTACTGTTTTCATATTATTTTTATTTGCTAAATACAGTAGCTAAGGTTTGTATTGAGTATTTTTTGCAATCTTCGTGAGGTGATAGGCGAAACTTTTCAAGAGTCCTTTTGTTGTCTATAAATGACAACAAAAGACAATAAATATAAACGACAACATTGTTCTCTTGAAAGAGAATCATATTAAGAGTCTTGATAGATTCTCGGTTGAGTCCAGTAAGTATACAGTAGCTGCTATTATGAATAATTTCATCGACAAGCCTGTATTTTATCAAGTATCACATTTCTGATTTTTTCTGTAAATTTATGTCAAATGATTGGGGTGACGTGCTTGGTTAAATTTTTTTTCCCCACTTCGTGCACATAATATGGCGAATTCAATTTAAAATATCAATTTTCAAACAAAGGCTCTGGGTACAGTACGACCATGCATTCTTATGCCAAACAACAAATGTAATTGCTTTGTTCAATATTTTTTCAACATGTTATTTAATCCAGAATTTAAAGTTGTATTTGTTGTGGATTTTAATGCTGTATTGAATTTATTGATGAAAATTGGGGTGAAGGATGCGAGGCTTGTTGGAGACAAACTGGAAACTATTTTTACAAGTGGTGCGCCTCAATGTTACCCTAATCTGTTGCTGGACTGGGGTCAAATTGTGAAGCAGTCAAATTTCAAGTCATTGTCAAATGCAATGTTTTCTGTATCATATTTGATGTTTATGCGTCTCTGTGTGAGTCACATTTTGGGGCAGAGATTGTATTCCAAGTCAACCTCCCATCAAACTGTTTGTCGGTCAAATTCTGGGGTGGTTGAGTTGCAAGGTACCTCCTATACAGTACTGTGACTAGATCCATTGCAATGCCATAACCACTTATGACAAAACCATTAAATGTTTGGCATTCGAAACTAGAAGTTATTATTGTAAATAAAAGGAAACACAAAGTTCAACTTTTTGTTGTTGTGCTCGCTTCTTGTATGTCACATTCATCACTTCACTCTGCATCGTCCCAACCCCAAGGCGAGGAAAAAAGACAAAAATTTTTTATACATGAGCTGGAAGGGTTCTAAAAATCCCCTTCCATCGCCAGCGTCAAATTCACAATCCAAAACAGTTTTCATTTTTTCATGAAGTCAATGCTGGTTGATATCGGCTTCATGTGATATCTTGAAAAAAAAAACAAATTTCAGTCCCTTTTTATTCTTTCCGAAATAATAATGGAGCGAGAGTCCAAAACTGAGAAAGCAAAACCATCACAACTCTCTCTCTCTCATCCCGGTCATTATTCCCCCGGGGAATTTGTTTCGAATAACTCGCGGGCGCATGCGTGTAGAGAACGTGACAAATCAATCAATTCATCACTCAATCAATCAGCATCAGGCACAGACGAAGCTACTTGTCTGGAAAGGTCCACTGATGCGGCCGCGGCCACTTGAGGTACGGGAAATCGTTGTAGTCAATCCGCGTGTTGGGCGGGCCGTAGTACTGCTTGCCGAAGCTCAGCCGCACTCTCCGCACGTCCCTCTCCTTGAACTCCTTGGCGATCTTGAGCCAGTCGCGTGGCCGGTGGTCGATTTCCACCACGGACCGCACCGGCCGCACGCTCCTGTCCCGCAGGCCACCGATCTGTGAGGAATTGTCGCCACAATTACACAAATACAGTCAAACCTCTCCAAGTCGAATTTCAAGGGAACTGAAAAAAAATTCGACTTAGAGAGGTTCAGACTTTTATACGGTGGAAGTACAATAAAAGACCCCATTTTCTGGGAAACTTAAAAAAATGTAAATGGTAATATTCTGGGGCTTAAATGATCTCTTAAATCAGTTGAAAGGCTGCTGAACTTGAAGGTAGGGGTTCATTTGCCCAATTAAGTCTTTCACTTCTTTTAAAACACATAAATTTATGGGTTTTTGTTGTTTTTTCTTTCTTTTTTCAAGAAAATAATGGTCAACAGGCCACAGAAAATTCGACTTATGGAGGTTTGAGGGGAAAAGCTTTCGACTTAGGGAGGTTTTTACTCTATTGGTTCTAAGGGGATTCAAGTGGGACCTGAAAAAAAATTTGACTTACGGGGTATTGGACTTAGGGAGGTTCGAGTTATCCAGCATTAATGTATGATACGTCACAGTTGAACCTTGTTAACTTAAACCTGCCCGAGTCAAAAACCACCCTATGTAAAAAAATTTTCAAGTCCTTGTTTGAATTACCTTATAGGAATGATGCATTAAAGCCTCCCTGACTGATGGCTTTCCCCTCAACTCTCCATAACCCGAATTTTCTGATGATTTTTCATATTGCAGCATTTTACTGACGCAGAAAAGAGAAGAGCAATACTGTATGATGTTATTTGAAAGCAATATGACAAGTTTTGAAAGAAAGGGAAAGACTGATGAGGCAAGGAAATCCTAGCCTCCAACTTCAGCTCATTTAAGAAGCAATTTAATGCCAAGAATATCACCAACTAAAAGTTTCTAAAATTAGTTTTCTCCCTAACCTCTGGATTTTACAAGATACAGACAAAATTATCAAATAATTTAACTTATCAAAATGTTGATATCTCTCAAACAAATTGAGCTACAGTACTGTACTTAGAGTCAAAAAAGTAAATATTTTTCTAATATTAGAGTAATAAATTTACTCTAATTCAAAATCCAAAATAAGCTAATTTTTTGCTTAGATTTCAAAGGTTTTTTCCATTATCTATGCATTGTACAGCAGTACTGTATAGCCAAACATGTGCTTGTTTTGCAATTTGGCTTTGTTTTCATACCAAAAGGGTTAGATTCTGTGTGCTACGTCAGACGTCAACTGTATATTTTATTTCGAACTTTGACCAAGAAGCTTGTTCTATTGAATGGTAGGTGTCGCTAGCCAAATAAATTCTTGGGCAAAAGTTATCCAGTCATGCAAGTCGTGGTTTTCCCCTCCCCAGCAAAAAAAAAAAAAAACAATTCGTCGCACGAATTTCTCCGTATGTGGGCGCTTCATCATGCGGGAAACTCGCTGCAAGTGTTCATGAGTTCATTTCCTCATCACGCAAATAATTCGATCAGCGGCGGAAATAATAGATGAACTCACGCATGAAAACTGGCTCTCCATGCGCTGAACAGAGACAAACTGGCAGACGGCGCAAGGTCTGGCATGATCGTCACTGCAGTTGTACTGCAACTGCATCACTTGCTGCTGCGGCATCGCAGCGCAGTTGGACTGATGAGGCGACTCCGCAGACTGCATCAGTCTTTCAGTATCACCTTTATTTGCTTCGTTGTGGGCCACCAAAGGCCTCACATTGTTGAGGCATGCCGGCTGAATCCCCTGTGATACACCGAAGATGCAGTACTTTATAATACCGTGGCTGGTGCTGATGACTTTAAAATCACGGGATTTTACAGTAACTATACCGTAAATACTTTCCCCTTCAAACATCATATGAGGGTTGTCCCATATGGGCGCGACCTTGGTTATTTCTTGAGTAGTCATGAAAAATATAATTAATATACTGTACAGTAAAGTACTGGAAAATTTCAGGGTTGTGGGACTTTTTTAAGATTTGAAAAAATGCATCTCCTCCCATGCCACAGGGTACAAAAAATTTGACAGGCCAGTTGAAATTTCTTAATTTTTAATGCATATATCAAAACTAATTCATTCTTGTGTGAGTTTGGTTTTGTAAATTTTTTTCTTACACAAAACCCTGTTTCTTTTGAGTAGTAATTTAAAACTATGTCATCTACTTCAGAAACCGAAAACATCCTCATAAAGAAAGATTGAAATCTGCTCACTTATTCAGCGAGTTTTTTCAGTATAAAATTTATGTAGTCCTAGTTGAAATCCCTCAACTCTCTGAAATTTAGAAATTTTCAGGACCAGCAAAAGGCAAATTGTTGACGTTTCTTTTGTAGAAAACTTTTCAAGTTCCAACCTAAAACAATCCAAGCATCTTTGGCTGAAAAACTTAGCTATGTGAAATAATATTGCTATGATGGTCATTAATTTAGGCTTTCAATATTTTTGCTGTAAAAATATCCTGTTAAGCAGGTAACCAATGTTATATCCTCTGGTCCATTCTGTTTAGTATGTCAAACTCAAAATTAATTTACTGTATAATACTTAAGTGAGGATTTTTTCAATTGGGCCATTTGAGATGTGAGCAAAGAAAAGATTCACTAACCTCAAATTTAAGCTTCAGGGATGTTTCTTCAGCATTTGTTTGTCCATTGAAATTGTTGATAGTTTGAGGCTGCCTTCCATCCATCTGTCCCATGGACACTCCACCACGCTGCACAGCTTCTCTCATTCCACCAAATCTACACCAAAGTCCAGGAAAACAAGTACAGGTAGGTACATCAGAAATTTAAATCATATTGCAAGAGTAACCAAAACAATGTTGGCATCGTCATGGAGACAAAACCAACAGGAAACAGCACTTTTGTTTCATCACTAGTACTGGCAGATGGCGGTTGGCGCCTTATTGAGGTTTTCTATAGAATTCAACATGGAGCAGATTTGATTTATTAAAATTTTTGGCGGTTGCTAAGGGTGACACTTTAATGGGGGGCGTCTTAACGGGGTTTGACTGTGCATTATATCTCATTTAAACAACTAGTTTTGTTACCATCAGCTTTATTTGAGCTTGGTCCCTGGAAGTTCCTTGTAATGCAATTTCCCCACATACAACAGGCAGAAGAATATACAGTGAGACCCCACATGCAGAAACCTTGACATGAGGACAATTTGACATGGGGACACTTATCTTCCCATAAAGATTAATAAAAAAGGCCCAACATGAGGACATTGACTCAAAATAGGAACATTTTGCGATGAAATTGGAAATAAATTTCTGGCCAAATTACAAGAAACAGATATTTCAAACCCTGATATTGAAGTAAAAGTTTTTTGGCATTTCTCACACCAATTTACCATCCATTTAGCTAATTTTAAAAAATTACCTCCAGCATAGAGGGACTTCCATCTCTCTTTTTCACTTGAATGTTATTTTTTTTACAGAGAATGACAACATTTCTATGTACTGTAAAGAATTATCAGTATTCAATTCCCCAAATGTCAAAATTGTGTTGAAATATATTGATTTAGTCAGTTTAAATTGGGAGATAATTTTTATTATCATGGAAATATGGTGAGTATATTTTGTCCATAAAACACCAAGTAAAAATTATTTCGTATAATGTAAGTCTAAGGGAAAATGAGACTGAACTTAGGGACACTCTTGATGCACCGATTACGTCCGCATCTCGGGGTCTCACTGAACTCCATTGAGCCAGAAACTCACTAACCTGTTGTCAATCGCCCCACTATCACAGTTGGCCAAGGAATCACAGTGCAACGGAAGCTGTTGCTGATTGAATGCCGGAAACCCAACACCCGCGTCAAATCCAGGGAAATTCGGGGAATCCTTTTTCAAAGAACAGTCGATCCCGTTTCCGGTTCCCTGATGCGAATATGGGCCGTTCACTTCCGCAAAGCGTTGCAGCGGAACACCAAACTCATTCCGATTGTTGCTGCTCACTGTTCTTTGAAGAAAGTCGTAGGGAAAAATGATAGAAAAAGGGAAGAAAANTATAATTTGTGAAAACATAATTTTATATGGTCTCTCGATAAAAATGATATTTTAAAATTAAATCCAGATGGATTTCTAGTACTGCGCATTTTCGTTCGGTGGAAAATCTTACTCGTTTCAGTGACATGCAGAAATGATCTAAGGTTGAAGAAATTACGTCAGCGCGGTCTGAATTGCAATTTCAAAATGCATTTCAGGAAAATTGAGAGAAACGCAGTGGGCGAATGTGTCCTTGGATGAACGAAGAAATGTTCTGATGGACGCACAATTTGCCATTGGCAATTCAAAATGATGAATGCACCTGAGTTTTTCAAACATTTTACATAACCAAGCTCGAGAAAAAAGAAAATAAATGGCCGGAGCCATTTTTCAAAATCATTTTAAAGATGAGGACAAAAGATAAACTTCAAGTTTTACAGAAGCAGAAGAATAGAATCAATCTCAACTCGTGTAAAAAAATTATTAATTATTTCAAAATACTGTAAGTGAATCTTCATCGGGAAAACCAGTAGATTACAATTGAATCACAGGGAAATAAGTACTGCATAAATGTTGGCTGCTGTTCATATGATGCGCTTTTTCTGTCCTGGCTTTCTCTTTTTTTTTTCTTTTTCTGGCCACTGCTGCAAAAACAAAGAATGGCACGCAAGGAAGTTTATTTTATTCCACGAGTTAAACAGTCACAAGCCAGATTCTAGAAGATAAAAAAACAAACCTCGACGCATTTAAAGAGCCTGCATTTCTTCTTCGTGACACATATCAAAATGAGTACTGATGAAATATCGTTAAAAAACCAACTTCTATGGACCAAGACTAACATTTTTACGAAAAAAAGCACTCGCATTTAAATGCCACAAATGATGTGATGCTCTGTTTTAGAAATTGATTGTTCATCACCTGAAATAATTATTTTAATTTTTTTTTTCAGAAATATTTTTCAACAAATCGGGTTTCCTGCTGCGCAGAATAACCATTTATCACAGCAAGAGTGAAGAAGAACCTCCGAATTGAAAAAAAAATTGTCTTCCGCAAAAAGCAAATAATCAATTTATTGTATAAATTAATTATTTCCTTGAAAGAGACATTTTTGATTTTTCAGGGCAAAACAAATTTTTATTCAAGTAATTGGAGCAAAATCGAAGAATTCCAATGATACTCCTGGCAAATGTGGAAATTTAACAAATAATAACGCGTCGCAATTCATCTAAATAAAATTTTGAACAATAGTTTCAGGACTAAACGCACAGTATTTTTAATGCGTTCCCGATGAACACTCGATCAGATCGGTATTCTATACCTGTTCAAAAATTTTCAATTAAAGTAATCCGAAAATTATTAATTCGAGCAGCAATAGACGACACAATTTTATGACAAGAAATGATTCGTAATTCTGTACAAAGATTGCGTATTTTCTCGCAAGGCGTAAATTTACAGCAGTTGATCTAGAATTTCTAAAAAATGTGAACTTCGAGATTAAAATATTGACATATTCGTTCTTCATGTACGTAAAAATGAAGATTCAGCCAGAAGAGGCTGCAAATTTATATTTTAAACGGAAAATGATGGGGAGAGATACGATGAAATTTAATGACATGAAATAATATATTAAAACGTACTGTATTTCGATACACGGAAAAAAGTGCATCAATAAATACGAAGATAAATTAATCAATTCAAGATGACAAAGCATTTCTTTATAAATAACTTCAACACAAAACCACCCAGTGAGTAAAGTTAAAAATAAAATTAAAAAAAAAACGCACACCTTGTCGACCACAAAAATTAACCAGTTAATTTCTGGTCAAGTTTATAAACCAGGACAATTCGAAAGGGGCTCAGACGAATCTTTGGTTTTTATCTTTCAAAATACATCGCTGAAACTTCAAACGAAAGAAACTTGAAAGCTCATAGTGTACTCGTATTCTACATTATATCCCACAAAAGGTAACAACTTTTTTTTTTTCAAGGCGACACGAATTCCCCCCACTTCTCCGTAATCATACGAAGTCATGAAACATAAAAGAGAAAATGTCGTGACAATCTCTCAACCTTTACGACATCAAATGAAATACTCGGTTTTTATTTTCCAGAAAAATATGCATCAGTTGAACGCACCTATCCGAATATTTCATTTCCAGGCCTGACCTTTCAGACGAGCGTTCTCATAATTTTCTGGAAATAATCAACAAAATGTAAATTCATAGAAAAAAATAACACGAATTGTGCATTAGTCCACATTCCTCTCGCTTCTTCAGAAGTCCCCCAAAAAATGGGGCCCACGCATAACATAACTATTCCATTCCCTACGGAATTTATCCCGCAAAAATTTCGCCGCGTAATAAATGACTTATGCCTCGATTGTTATAGAAAATATGTTTAACCATTCAAGACGCAAAAAATTTTCGATAGACCTTCAAAACACTTGCATGACGTAAGGATAAACTTGAAAAAATTTAGGCGATATTCAACCTTCTGAAATCCACAGATTATGAGCCAAGAAAAGTCAACCATTTCACCTCTTTCTTTTCTTTTTTGACATACCTTTGACAGTACAGTATTTCAAAAACAGTATTTCAAAAATTATGAACCCAAAACTTTCAGAAATATTCGCGCTTTTGTCCAGAAAATGGTGTTCCATGAAAAATGTTTTATGTGAGTCAAACTTATTGTCTGAATTACATTTTGTTATGAGCAGCTTTAGTGCATACGTAACAAATCATTTCAATTACAGTAAAGGCCTGATATTAGGACACTGACTCAACATAGGGACATTATGTGATGAAATTGCAAATAAGTTTCTGGCCAAATTACAAGAAACAGATATTTCCAACCCTAAAATTGATGTAAGAAAAGTTCTTCAGCATTTCTCCCACCAATTTACCATCCATTTAGCTAATTAGAAAAATTACCTCCAGCATAGATGGACTTCCATTTCTCTTTTTCACTTGGATGTTATTCTTATAGAGAAGGCCAAAATTTCTATTTACTGTACAGAGGTGTCAGTATTCAATTCCCTAAATGTCCATATTGTGTTGAAATATAATGATTGAATCAGTTTAAATTGGGAGAACATTTTTATTTTCATGGAATTATGGTGAGTATTTTGTCATTAAAACACCAATGCAAAATTATATGCCAGAAAAGACACAAAAAGTGACTTTTCAGGAGTCAGAGCGACGGTCCTGTGTATGGGCAGTAAATAAATAGCTGTTCGAATTTAAATTAAGAGATGAACATATAGCCGTTCAATGTATCAATTTCTTGTCATGGTTCGTTTGAATCGAATGTTTAAAAGCTAATCAAAACTGAAAACCCATAAAGTTAGTTACAAAAAAAAAGGAAAACCTGCTATCATACGGAAACAAACACAGTTTCGTTTGTCCCTGGAAATGTTTTCTGCTGAAATCAGAGAAAAGCTTCCGCTTTGTTCTTGAAGAAATGGGCCAGTGATCCAAAGTCGTAATGCAATACAACTTTATGGATCATGAGTGGAATACACATGATCTTGATCACCTTTTAAACTACTGTATTCCGGGATAGGATTTTTAGCATGCGCCTTCCAAATTCACTTTCGTTTCCTAGTTACAGCATTCCTTTCGCGCAATTCTTTTAAACTGTCTTCGTAAGTATGATGGTTTTCCCACCCATCACCTCAAATAGGTAGGCAAAGAACCCCGCCTCAGATTGGAAGAAGATATAAATAGGATTACTGTGGTTCGAAAATGCAGGAAATGTTTGGGAGCCGTTGCTTATTTTAAAAATAAATTGTTACTGGCAAGCAAACATATAGTTGAATAAATCGCGAAAAAGGTGCAAGAATGGCGTGGTAAAAACATAACTAACATTTCAACAAACCTTAAAACGCATGCATGATTAGAAGGAAATAAAGTGACAATTTATTTTATTTCGTTTCCTCTGATTGAATTGCTATTCTTGGAACGGTTAGTATGAGCGAAAAAAAAGTTATTTAAGATATGCTAAGAAATGTGTGCTCTTCCGAGACTTGAAGAAACGCACAGTGGATTCTTGGCTAGCAAGTGCCCCGGCTAAAATGTTTTTTTTTAGCTTAAAAGCATTGTGCTAATACCTTGTCTGACCCAGCTACCAAATGAATCCAGCTAGAAAACATTGGTCCCCAAAATTTCTCTTTAAAATTGATACTGTACTATTTTTCCGGAAAACAAAATCCAGGTCTTATCATTTTCAGCTAACAAACATTTTATTGGAGCGGATTGTGCTCGTTAGCCAACCCCCCCCCCCCTTTGTTTTTTCAAAATGCGTTTAAAAATATGGTACCTGTGTGGTTGGCCAACTAATGCAGCCCCGGGTGACGAGGGTGCGACTGGAAGTGAACAGATGTGGCAGGAAAACATTAAATGAAAAGTTGGAACACCGCACACCCAAGGACATTCGCTATTCAAGACGAACTTCGCGACCCGCGGAAGAGCATGAGGAAACCGTGAATTTCTCCAAGAGTCCCTTGAGCATCCCAGGGAGAGATAAGCTCGGAAAAGAGGGTTCACGGAACCAGAGCAGACTGTCCATGCTTTCAAGGTCAGTCGGATCTCTGGGTCAAAGGACTCTGTCCCGGCGTGCCTGCATGAGCGTATCCTCGGCTTATGGATAATGCGTAACTAGAAAGAATGACGGGGTGAAAAATGAGCTCGCATGACACCCAGGGTCGGCCCAGAAAACGATGAAAATCACGGGAGGGGGGAGGAAAGGCATCCCGTCGAGGCTAAATGGTGAAGCCCGTCGCACGACCGGAGTTCAAGGCCGAAGGTTTCCCCCACTGCACCCGAAAACGCCTGTTCCCCGCTATGCTCCCGGGTGCTCTGTGGGTTACAGTGGCACAACGCCCTGTTTCCCTCCTCCCCCCCAAGGTAGAAACGGCCCATCAACCCCTGGGCCGGGTATCGGGCATGAAACGATCCATCTCCCTCCGCCTCCAGGGATTATTTCCGTTGTCGGATTACTGCCCAAGTGATGCCATCATCGGCTAGATATCTGAACGACATCGCGCGCCGCCTCTTGCATCAATTCGGAGAATTGAAGCGCTTTCCTCTTGAAAGTCACTATGGTTCATGCTGCTTGGTTGGAAATACTGTATCGTTTGTTTCGCCATTTCAGCGTTAATCCCTCAGTCCCTTAGTTCCTAAACTTATACGACTCGAGAAACTCCTTCCACCATCAATAGACATCCTGGGGACTCTCAAGCTTTTCACTGACCGGGCGTGTAAGATCGCTGCCTGTTTCCATATGGTAGGGATTGTCAACAAAACTAATGAAGATACAAAGTTGTAAACCTTGATTTTTATGTCCATAGCTGACTTTAGATGCATCTAGTGGGTGAATTAATTATTTGAACAGCAAGCGTAAAGCATGATCACAAGTGAACTACAGTGTCCCGTAGCTAAAGCTAACGCTGTATTATGACTATGAATAAAGTTACAGTATATTGTGAAGCCAGAGAATAAATTATAAAGACGGTACTTGGCCGCGTGGCACGCCGTCCGGATTTACGGGGATTTTTTTCAAGTTGAAGGCTTTAAATCAAAAATTGGATTTAAAAAAGGATTTGTAAAAAAGGGAAAGCTCTATAATTAGCCCGATGCGCACATCCTATGGATATTGGGGTATTTAGAACTTTTCATTTTTTTTATGCTTAGCCTGAATTGCAACATTGCGCTACTTTTCTATTATTCGTGAGGTTCACTTTTTTATTTAATATCCTGTATACTAATTTTCTTTCTTGTGTCTCTTGAAGCCTCTGATGGGAATGATGAGTCGTTCGGGCTTCACTGAACACGGATTGAGATCCTTCTAATGTAACATTACCATTGAGCATTTTTCTGCAGCACTTCAACCCAGCTCACACAGTATACAGTAACTGGTAAATCCGGTTAATGGAAGCAATCTCACGAATATATTCAAGTTTTTTTTATAAACGACACGTGCCCTCACCTACGACCCTATCCTAGCCTGATCAGTTTTCTAATGACAATTTTGAAAATTCTTTTCCCGTAACCCAGAGCACTTGAGCAAAACTGTACATTATGCGATTTTGGCTTCAAGTTCTCCTAACTTATTGAAACTGGCACGTATCTTCGGTATCATTGAGGTCGGAGATTTCAATTCCTGTGATGTTTCATTCTCTTTTCAGTTCTTGGAATTTTATTTATTTATTTGATGAAATCAGCGATTTTCCCAACGGTTCTTTTTTCTCCAGAGCACACCGAGTTCGTGTGTGATTTTCATGTAACTATGTGGCTTCCAATTTTTCGATTATGCTTTCAATTTTAGTTCACCCGCAACCAGACAAAAATCCAGGCACGGATTCCAAGCTATTTGTGATTGACCTTGAAGCGACCTGCCAGGAAATCGTTCCTGCGGTCCCCATTTTTGTGTCCTCGTTATTCCTCTCTATCGCCTGATTTTGCGTGGAATTTTCGTTCTCATATGAATGGCAAATTTGAGCGAAAGCAAACAACACACTGTGCTCAAGTCACAGAGAACAGCGAGATAATTTCGTGAATCTCATTTGGTTGCAGGCTTAATATCAGATCCCACCCCGAGT